AACATGGCTCCCAACTGGAGTCACGGCACGTCGGACTTGCACACCATCCACACGTTCGTTCGCAAGGCTCGTGCCAATAAGAGCAACAAGAGCATGAGGCGGCTGTCATCTGACAGCACCCTGATGGGTAAAATGTGTTTAAAAGACCCTTTTTATGAGGGCCAGGTGGCCAGCAAAGCTGAGCGCAAAAAGGACAAGAAGCTGAAGCATCTTTCTCTAAGTTCAGGCGCTGGCGATGGCAGCAGCGGTGGCGAGAAGCGTGCAAGGATCAAGCGTAGTAAAAACCCCAAACAGTCCAAAGCCTTTAAGAAGCTTAAGAGCTCGGCCCACAGCGAGACAGACTCCGAGAATGGTCTCGGACATGGAGAGGAGCATTTGGACCAGGGAGCAGCGGCTGAGCGCAGACTACAGGCCCAGGTGAAAGAAGAAAAGGAGGAAGCCACCAGAGAGGCGGATATGAGTTCCAGTGAAGGCGAGACTTGGATTGCGGATGAAGACATAATGGTAGAGTCAGGTGGGTTTATTAGGGACTGAAGAAGATTTAGATGGTTTGGAGATGCTCATAAATAATCATTGAAGGATTTTAATATTTTGTTACAGAATTTTATGTCAGTGTGGTGAAAAAATGTAAACTCCGTATATGTTTTCAGCAGCTATATATATATATATATATATATATATGTATATGTGTGTGTGTATATATGTATTTAAATATTGTTAAACATTATTTTTATTTTTTTTATAATTACATGATTTTACAATTTAAATACTAATTTTTAAAACAATTTTATGCGTCTTTTCCTTACAGGGGATGATTCATGGGACTTGATCACCTGTTACTGCGGTAAACCCTTTGCAGGACGGCCCATGATTGAATGTAGTCAGTGCAGTGTGTGGGTGCACCTCTCTTGCGCCAAAATTAAGAAGTCTAATGTGCCCGACATATTTAACTGCCACAAATGCAGAGACTCTCGACGGTCAAGTCATAAGAAAGACACTTAGATGAGGGGGTCTTCATTCCCTCAAAGCTCTGAATGTTCCCAGTTCTCTAGTTTTTGTATCCAAAACAATTAGTTTCAAAATCAAATGTTTCCTCTCTTTCTTTGCAGTTCTAGTTTTGGCGACCAGTTACTCCTTACATGTTTAACAGTCAATAGTCTCCAATGCAGAGTTCGCTGAAAAATAATATTTGACTTGATCTCTTACCTCCTGAGTTGGTAATTGATCTTGGCTCATTTGTAACTATTCCACAGATGCGTACACTATTCTTTGTCACACAAAATTGTCATTTGTTTAAAGTAAGCAGCTTACATATTTAGTAAGTGGCACTATTTTCCTTTGGAGAAGTTAGAGAAGCCACACTACATTTTCACAGATGTATACTATATTGGTTACTTTGGTACTATAAGAGTCTATTTAAAAGTTTAAAAAAAAAAAAAAAAAAACCTATACAAAATACAGAAAAATGTTATGATTTTGCCAAAGAGCTGCTATGAGAAATTGTTGACACTGCTGTTACTAGAAAATGCGTTATTTCTTAGTGAACTGTCCAGTTGATTTTTTTTCATTGGGATAGATGCCATTGTTTGAAGACTAATAGATGTAATGTGTTAATCTGAGTGCCATTTCCTGTAGGTGATCATAAAACCATTTGATTACAACCTCTTCATTTGATATTTCTGTAAGAAATCGAACCCAAATGGACTTGACCAGTCAGCTAACACGTATTAGATATTCAAATATAAAGAGCTATACGAGTCATTTAAACAGGAATTCCATTCAGTTGCAATTATTGATATCAAAAATGAATTTAATCTAATTCTACTTAATGTTAACTCATGTACTTTATCGAAGAAGCTATCAATACTGTTTGGTCTTTATTACTTGCACAACGTAGTGTTTTTTTTTTTCTTTCTCAATGTGTTCAATTTTTTGGAAGATTTCAGTTTAATAAGATGTGAATGCTAGATTTAGGAGCTTTGCTGAAGCTTTCCTCGAATGAAATGGTTGTAATTATTGTTTTCAAGAAGTGTTTGGGGGTTTTCAACTCTGAGAACTGGCAAAGATTACTCATTTCTGCTACAAGCTCTTTCTTTTGAAATAGTTTGGAGACTATTGTTTGGAGTTTTTTTTCCTTTGTTTTATTTGCGAAGCAAGGGGGATTGGAAATCCCCAAAAGCCAGACTTCTCTCGCTTCATGTTTCATATATATTACAGATTTTGAGAAGTGTACATATCTGAAAGTGAAGAGAAAAGCAAAGCAAATAGTTTTTTTGCATCTGATATTGTTTTCTTTAACTACCCAGAGAAATAAAACTTTTCTTTATTGGGGTTAGAATGTCTTATTTTCCTAATCTAACTTTTGTGTTAAGATGCATCATGTATTTTGTGATTTAAAATAAGTTGAAAGTACATTAGACATGATTGAATAGTTTATTCATGTACATTTTATTTTGCAGCAACACCAGTACAGTGTCTGTCAGTTTGCACACCACTAGAGGGAGTGGGTAAGCTAATATTGGAAAAACATAAATACAAATAAATAAGTCACAGTTTATAAACCTGAGATCCAATGACTTAATAGAAACCAAAAGTTCAATAAAATATATATATATAAAAAAAATCACACAAGCGAAAAAGGACCAAAACATTAGGTGTCCTTTGTAACGGTATATGTAATCTGTTAGTTTGATCACTTTGCATCGTATTCCTTAAAATCTTCAGGTTCCTCCTAAGGGGGAAAAATATTTATTTTTACATTAATAGGATATGCAATCTGTTGAGTTCAAATATATGTAGTCAAACCACTGTGGTTTTCTCTGATAGAAAATACCTTTCTGTTCCTGGAAGACAAGTAGGAGCTTCCAATGGGGTCCAGAGGAACCGTGATCCTCCTCCTATTCAGGGTAATAAATATAGGAATCGTGTGTGAATTTGGGGTCTGAAAACATTGAGATCGCTTCTACAGAGAACTAAGAGTTCCATATCCAAAAAATAAAAAAATTGGAAAGCTCTTTTAAACAGACATTTAAAAGAATTTAATACTGAGGTTAGTTATAGCAATTAAAATAAAAATGTTCTATTAATTTTTATTGAACTTGAATTTAAATATTTTCATATAAATAATATTTTTTAATACAATAACAGTAAATATTTCTACTCGCCTCTTATCCTTGTTTTTGCGGCGGTTGCTGTTTGCTGGTTGCACATTGCTGTGTTCCATAGGGGAAAAGAAATCGGGAGTCTTGGCGGGATTGGGTTCCCAGTCCCGAGTCATTTCCCCTTCATTTCCTGGGAACAAGTCTGCCAGATCAGAGAGCTCATAGATGTGTGGCGACATCTCCTGATCTGACCTGTGATTGCTCTGCAGGAAATCAGATGCATTTTAATATGTGACATATTAAAGTGTTTTTATTGCAATGCTATATTAAAACCTGTATATAAATGTAAATGCTCTCAAGAAGAGAATTAACTCCGCATATAATTAATGTGATATTTACTCTTTTCACTCGCAGTCTGTCTGGTATCAGGAAAGCAAAAAGCTTGTCCATCAAGAAGTAGACAACCAGAATAAGTAGCAAACACCTGGAGCACGTCATCTGAGGGTACAACACCACACAACATGATGTTTAGAAATGTTTGGACCCCAAATATTTGCATGTATTAAGATAAACTGCTAACAGCAAACACAATAAGCGGATTAGAAATGATAAAAACTGTTTTAGAAAATGTAGCAAATTCAGCACATTTATTGGACAAAATTCAGAACTGAATTAAAGTATATTGTGTTTTTAATATTTACCTTCTTGACAAATTAGTCTGTCCTTTGGAAGTTTCTTCAGGAGTTGTTTGACAGTCCTGCTCTGTTCCTACTTGTGTGTTTATGTTGCCTTGCCGTCCTCTTTGTCAAGGGCATGTGTGTTTTGGGTATTTGTAGACCTGAAGCTGGGGTGGGTTTATATAGGATGACCAAGAGATTATGGATAAAGGGAGTGTGTGTCTAGCATGACTTCACCCACTCTCCAAAAAGATTAGAACATAATTAAAGCATCGTTTTGGTTGTTGTTAGAATGTTCTAGTTCAAACTCGGCTTAACAGGTTGACAATATCTACATTGAGCGGCCACAGAATCTTGCAAGAGAATTAAAAATCAGTATTCATAATGACATGGAATATTCTTCTCATATGTTTATCTATATTTAAACTATTTCAATTTATGATGAATAAATGACTGATATAAAAATTGTACGCTATATTGTCTGCAGAAATTAAAAATAAAACACTAACAAATATGCTACAAGGGAATTTAGGCATCATAAAATTATATATAAAAAATTTGTATTTTCATATTGAAATTTGCCAAAGATTACATTTAAGTGTTATTAAATTATTAGTGTTTTTAAGTATAACTTTAAGTGTTAAATGACAGAAAAGTTAAACGTATAATATCAACCAATATGGATAAATGAATACAATTTCTAATATTGGCTAATGGTTCTGAAATATTGTGTATCTCTTGTGATTTTATTTGTAATTTTATGAGACATTTGATGCAAGCCTGTGCATTGTAACTAGTTGGTATTTGTACACACTCTGAATGTTCTGTCATTTGGAGACACTGTGTGTGGCCTGTTCGGGTATCAGATAATATCGTCTCGCCCAATTTCACAGTTTCAAAACATTGGATTCTCCTCCACGTACACCAAAACGGTCTCTTTCTCATTAGGGATGGTCGTAGTATTATCAGAGGAAACACACACACATACATAAGCAAGTTGAAAAAAAGCAGGGGCGGCCTCTGTGGATGGCTTACCAGCAGTCTGACACGTTTTCTCGTTTCCTCTTTTCCCTCCCTATCCTAATTATTGCTATTTCTGGCAACAAGGGCCCCAGACATAGACTAGCTGTTGACAGACAACCCATGGTGAAAATAAACTACCTTTACTAAACAGGGTCGGTGCAATCCACCCAGATCTCAGTCAACAGAGACTGAGAACAAATCATTGCTGCTGATTACTCTAATTAGTGTAAAATGAGTGTGTGTGTGTGTGTGATCATTTCTGACAATCCCGCCTTCTCATTTCTGCCCTATAAGTACCCAGAATCTTTCCGAGTTCCAAATTTAGAACAATGAAATTCTAAAGAGTCCATTGGCAGCACAAATATAAGACTTTTTGTTAAAAAAATTGCAGAATTGGTAATGTTTTTGGATTACATATGTAATGTATTGTGTATTTTCATTATATAAAAACTCTTGTAGATACAATAATATTTTTCCAGAATGTTTCAGATAATAAAATGGATGGTTAATTTTCAGCACTTCATATATTCAATAAGATCTCTAGTAATATGCAGAGTGCAGATTGCCCTACTCATTTTCATCCCATGTCTTGAAATTTATGGATCAGTGTTTCTTCAATTCTGCTCACTACATTTGTATTTCATTAGATTCAAAATATATTTGTCTGGTTTACAGACCTCACTCAGTTTTGTCTTATGAATGTTGAGCAAGTCGAAAAGTGTATGCTGTTTCTTTTCTTTCAGTAACTACTGAGTCAGTATAACATGCAGTTAACTAGCTACCGTATTATAGTCAAGTGGCAATTCAAATTGAAAAACATTATACCTAACATTACATATAAACCACAGACGATATACAGGACATTACAGACAGAAACTATATTGTAAATCTCTGTGGAAAATGCAGTCTCTTAATTTAAAACTGAGAGCAAGATTTCAAGCTTTTGAGTTATACAAGCTGTTTTACTGCACAGATTGTGTAATGCCTGGATAGATCATGTTTTTCTGTGTTTAGCATTTTGTGGTGAATTTCTGTTATGAAATTGTTTCTTTGTTGTTTTTATCTGCATTGTAATTTATTTAGGGGTGGAAGTAGCTGTACATTCACCCCCCCCCCCCCCCCAAATTATAACTATTATTTATTAAGGAATTGTAAATTCAAAAATAAAAAAAAATTCCCTCTGATTCTGTTTTCCTTTAGCAAGCTTCTTTCGAATCAAATGTTCTTATGCTTATCCAAGAATTTTGATTCATCAAAACATTTTACAGGTACAAGACAATGAAACAAGCCACAACCTACTGGCTAACTGAAATTCTCAAAGCAGAGTCCACATTTCACAAAATATAGACAAGCTCAAATTTAGCTACATTTTGATTCTAGGGCAAACTTTCGGCATGCTTTTTATTATCAATAGGCAATCAATATCACCTGCTAAAATCAATTAAAAGGTTGCAGTAATTTCAATTGCAAAGAGCAGCTTTAGTACAGTTGTGCTCAAAATTATTCATACCCTTGATAAATATGATCAAAGAAGGCTGTGAAAATAAATCTTTCATTCACAAAAAAAAAATCTAACCTTTAATTAAAGTAAAAAAAAAAAAAAAAGTGGGGGAAAATCACATTATGAAATAAGTATTTTTCTCTAATACAGTAAGAGGACGTGTGTCTATATCGTCCTAATGTACGGTGAGGAGGAGAGTTTGAGTGGCCAAAGACTCCAATGATCACAAGAAAATAGTTGAGTCTTGGGGTCAGAAAGCCTAAAAAAAACAATGTTGTTTGGGAGGATTTCAAGAAAAAACTAGAGAAGAAAACGCTCTCATCCAAAAACAAACTCCAGCATATTTATTTGCTAGACACCACTGGAACTTTAAACAGGATTGGGTTCAATGGTAAGTTGAAACTAAAAAAATGAGCTTTTTAGCAGCAAATACTCAAGATGGGTTTGGTGCACACAGGGATAAAAAAGTACCCCATGTGTACAATGAAATATACTGCTGGATCTTTAATGTTGTGGGCCTACTTTTCTGCCGGAGATCCTGGATATCTTGTTCAGATAGATGGCATAATGGATTCTATAAAATACCAATGGATAAAAAATGTTAAGCTAACTGTCCATGCTAGAAATCTTATAATGGGCCATTGTTGGATCTTCCAACAGGACAATGATCCACAAACATCAAAATCAAAACAAAAATGGGTCACTGAGAACTAAACCAAGCTTCTGCCCTGGCCAACCCAAGTTTCCTGAGCTGAACCCTATAGAAAATGAATGTGGTGAACTGAAGAGGAGAAGCATCAACATGCAGCTGGAAATCTGAAGCGTCTGAAGAGATTCTGGATGAAGGAATGGTCCTGTCAGATATTCTCTAAACTCTTCAGGCATTATAGGTGAAGACTCAGAGCTGTTCTCTTGGCAAAAGAAGGTTGCAAAAAGTATTGGATAAAAGGGTATGATTAATTGTGACCAATGTGTATTAGAGAAAAACATTTATTTCATAATGAGATTTCTCTCCCATTTTAAATTCTTATTGTCCAATGAAAGGTTAGATTTTAGTAAATGTTTTAAATAAAAATTGATGATACAGATTCATTTTCGCAGCCTTCTTTGATCATATTTACCAAGGATATGAATAATTTTGAGCACAACTGTGTGTGTGCAGAGGAGATTTTCAATTTTACAAATAGGCCACAAGGTTCACAAAAATATTTGTGAAACTGCAAACCTTTATGTCATGACATTTAAGATGATCTTTGGAATATGCTTAATTGTCTAGAATTCTCTTTATTATTTTATTATATCTTTATTATTATTATTATTTGACCGTGAAACCAACCACATGCTATTGTTGAGTCTTGGCAGATGCTTCACATAACACATACACGGTGCTTTATTTTTACAAATAGGCTATCCGGTATTACTGTGTGTATAATGGGAAAAAATGATGATTAAGAACAGCTATTGCAGGGATCCTCAAATCTGGCCCACGAGATTTCCTGCAGAGTTTAGCTCTAACCCTAATCAAACACACCTGAGCATGCTAATCAATGTCTTCGGGATCATTACAAATTCCCAGGTAGGTGAGTTTGATCGAGATATA